AATATACATTCTTCTCAAGTCTACATGGAACATTCTCCAGAATAGATCACATACTGGGTCACAAATCAGGTCTCAACCAGTACCAAAAGACATGGATCATTCCCTGCATATTTTTGGACCACAATGCTTTGAGGCTGGAACTCAGTCACAAGAGGAAATTTGGAAAGAACTCAAATACATGGAGGTTAAAGAGCATCCTACTAAAGAATGAATGAGTCAACTAGGAAATTAAAGAAGAATTTTAAAAATTTTTATGGAAACAAATGAAAATGAAAACACAACTGTTCAAAACCTTTGGGATGCAGCAAAGGCAGTCCTAAGAGGGAAGTACATAGCAATATAAGCCTTTCTCAAGAAACATGAAAGGCCTCAAAGACACAGCCCAACCCTACACCTAAAGGAGCTTAAGAATAGCAAATAAAGCCTAAACCCAGCAGAAGAAGAGAAATAATTAATATTAGAGGAGAAATCAATTTAATAGAAACCAAAAGAACAGCAGAACAGATCAACAAAACTAGGAGCTGGTTCTTTGAAAGAATTAGTATGATCGATGACACCCCCTCCCCCACCAGACTTATCAAAAAGAAAAGAAAAAAACCCCAAATTAATAAAATAAAATCATGAATGAAAAGGGAGAGATCACAACCAACACCAAGGAAATAAAGAACATATGATGAGCAACTATATGCCAACAAATTAGGCAATCTGGAAGAAATGGATGCATTCCTTAGAGATGTATAAATTACCAAAAATGAACCAGGAAGAAATAGAAAACCTGAGCAGAGTCCAGGGCTTCTCGGGAATTCTACCAAGCATTTAAAGAATTAACACCTGTTCTTCTGAAGTTCTTTCAAAAAATAGAAATGGAAGGAAAACTTCCAAACTCATTCTGTCAGGCCAGTATTACCTTGATTCCAAAACCAAAGACCCCACTGAAAAGACCAATATCCCTGATAAACCTGGATGATGCAAAAATTCTTACTGGGATACTAGCAGTAGGCTCCAACAGTACATTAAAAGGATTATTCACCATGACCAAGTGTAATTTATTCCTGGGCTGCAAGGGTGGCTCAACAGCTGCAAATCAATCAACATGATACACCACAATAAAAGGACAAGAACCATAGGATCCTCTCAATAGATGCAGAAAAAGCATTTGACAAGGTACAGCATCCTTTCTTAATTAAAACTTCACAGTGTAAGACGTGTAGGGATAAAGAATATCATAAAAGCCACATACAAAAAGCTCAACGTGAGTATCATTCTCGATGGGGAAAAAGTGAGCTTTTCCCCTAAGTTCAGGAACATGACAGAGATGTCCACTGTTACCACTGTTCAACACAGTACTAGAATTCCTGCCTCAGTATTCAGACAACAAAAAGAAAAGGCATCTGAATCAGCAAAGAATTGAAACTCTCACTCTTTGCAGATGACAGGATACTCTATGTGGAAAACTCATAAATTAAGCAAAGTGGCAGAATTTAGCAAAGTGGCAGAATGTAAAATCAATGCACAGAAATCAGTTGTATTTCTATACACTGAGAAAGAAATTAAGGAGTCGATCCCATTTACAACTGCACCCACAACCGTAAGATAATTGGGAATAAACCTAAACAAAGTGGCAAAGGATCTGTACTCAGAAAACTATAGAACACTCATGAAAGAAATGGAAAAGCGTCCCATGTGCATGGGTTGAAAGGATAAATACTGTTGAAATGTCTAAGCTACCTAGGGCAATCTAAACATTTGATACAATCCCTATGGAAATACTATCAACTTTTTCACAGAGCTGGAAGAAATAATTCTAAAATTTGTTTGGAACCCGAAAAGACCCTGAATAGCCAAAGGAATGTTGAAAAAGAAAACCAAAGCTGGTGGCATCACAATTCCAGACTTCAAGTTCTATTACAAAACTGTAATCATCAAGACAGTATGGTACTGACACAAAAACACATAGATCAATGGAATAGAACAGAGAACCCAGAAATGGACCCTCAACTCTAGGGTCAACTAATCTTTGACAAAGCAGGAAAGGATATCCAATGGGAAAAAGTCTCTTCAACAAATGGTGTTGGGAAAATTGGGCAGCCATATGCAAAGGAATGAAACTACACCATTTCCTTACACCATACACAAAAATAGACTCAAAATGGATGAAAGACCTAAATATGAGACAGGAATCCATCAAAATCCTAGAGAACACAGGCAGCACCTCTTTGATCTCGGCCACCGCAATTCTTGCTAGACACATCTCCAAAGGCAAGGGAAACAAAGGCAAAATTGAACTACTGGGACTTACCAAGATAAAAAGCTTCTGTACAGCAAAGGAAGCAGTCAACAAAACCAAAAGACAACCAACAGAATGGGTGAAGATATTTGCAAATGACTTACCAGATAAAGGACTGGTATCCAAAATCTATAAAGAACTGATCAAACTCAACATCTAAAGAACACATAATCCAGTCAAGAAATGGACAGGGGTGCTTGGGTGCCTCAGTTGTTAATCATCTGCCTTTGGCTCAGGTCATGATTCCAGGGTCCTGGGATCGAGCCCCACATCGGGCTCCCTGCTCAGTGAGGAACCTGCTTCTCCCTCTACCACTCCCCCTGCTTGTGGTCCCTCTCTTGCTGTCTCCCTGTCAGATAAATAAAATCTTTTTAAAAAAAGGAAAGAAAGAAATAAATAAAAGGACAGAAGAGGGGTTCCTGAGTGGCTCAGTCAGTTAAGTGATTGCCTTTAGCTCAGATCATCATCCCAGGGGTCCTGGCTTGGAGCCCTGCACTGGGCGCTCGGCTCAGTAGCAGATCTGCTTCTCCCTCTCTGTGATCTCTCTCGCTTTCACTCTCAAATAAATAGTCTTTAAAAAAATTCTCAGGATTAAAACTCAGCTTAAATGTTAAAAATAAATAAAACAAAAACAGTATGGTAGTTCCTCACAAAGTTAAAAATAAAATTACCATATGATCCAACAGTCTCATTTCTGGTTATATACCCAAGCAATTGAAATCACAGATACGAACAGGTATTCGTACACCCATGCTCAATATTCACAATATTGCATTATTCGCAATAGCCAAAAGTTAGAGACAACCAGGTGCCCACTGGCAGATGGATAAAATATGGTGTAGCTACATAATGGAATACTTTTCAGCCATAAAAATGAGGAAAATTCTGACACAAGTCACAACACAGGTGAACCCCAAAGGCATTGTGCTGAGAAGCAGGCAGTCACAGGAGGACAAATACATACAGTTTCACTCCTATGAGGTAAAGTAGTCAGATTCATAGAGTCAAAGTAGAATGGTGGTTGCCAGCAGCTGGAGAGGGGAGAACGGGAGCTACTGTTTAAGACGTTTAGAGTTTGGTTTTACAAGATGAAAATGTTCAGAATATGGATGGTGATGACTATACAACAGGATGAATACCAAATAGGGTTAATACTAAACTGTACATTTAAAAATGGTTAAAGTGGTAAATTTTATAATTATAAAAAATTTCCTGGGGGATTACTATCTAGCCTGATCTGGAAAATTGGAGGTGGCAGTCAAAATGGGATGTTTGAAATCATGATTGTAAAGACAATGCAGTTATTGAGAGTGATCAAATCTGCCCTAAGACCATGGGAGCGAACAGATAAGGCAGAGGTAAAGAATGAAGACCAGAAGAGGTCTAGGGACCCAAGTGCCCGAGTATTGGATGAGTTGGAGGACAATGAAATCACCACAGCCTAAGGACAAGAGAAATGAAGCCTGAAGGGGCGGTGGGAGAGGGTGGTGTGGTGTGTGTGTGTGTCTCTCTCTCTCTCTCTCTCTCATGGCAGGGCAGCTGCTCACAAGGAGGCCCGGGAGGATCCTGGGGCTGAGGGGTTAAATGTGAAGGCAGGTCAGTGCACAGTGCCCAGCAAGAGTGGGCACTCTGACGTCAGCCCGTATATCCCCATGCTGGACCTACAATACCAGATGCTCTATGTACGCTTTTAAGTGCTTGTAATTTTTAGTTGATCAGTAACATTTCTAATGTATTTCTAAAATTCGGTAAGTTAAAACTTCAAGGAGAAAAATCTGGGCTTCAAGGATTTAAATGCTTAAGACCGGGCTAGACAGAAAACATTCTAGGCTTTTCAGGCCCCATGGTCTTTATCACAACTGCTCAACTCTGCAATGGTAGCAGGCAAGCAGCCACACATAGTTCATCAACAAATGAGCATTGTGGTGAAATGAAAAGGAAACATTATATACAAAAACAGGCAGTGGGTTGCGGTTTGCTGACCCCTGGTCTGACACGGTATTTGTAAGTTAGTGCTGCAGTGTTTTTGTACCTAACATTCTAAGGATTTGGTAAATTGTACTTGTCCGTGCCTATTCTGTAAGATTTGACCTTGACTTTTTTTTTTTTTTTAAGAGTTTATTTATTTGGGGCTCCTGGGTGGCCCAGTGGGTTAAGCCGCTGCCTTCGGCTCAGGTCATGATCTCAGAGTCCTGGGATCGAGCCCCGTATCGGGCTCTCTGCTCAGCAAGGAGCCTGCTTCCTCCTCTCTCTCTGCCTGCCTCTCTGCCTGCTTGTGATCTCTGTCAAATAAATAAATAAAATCTTTAAAAAAAAAAAAAGTTTATTTATTTGACAGAGATCACAAGTAGGCAGAGAAGCAGGCAGAGAGAGAGGAGGAAGCAGGCTCCCCGCTGAGCAGAGAGCCTGATGCGGGGCTCGATCCCAGAACCCTGGTATCATGACCTGAGCCGAAGGCAGAGGCTTTAACCCAGAGCCACCCAGGCGCCCCTTGACCTTGACTCTTAATTAATCTTAGCAAAGCCATGAAGTTATACTTCTACATAATACTTGCTAGATTCTGATTATGTAAATCATGGCAAAGGTTTTATTAGGTTTCAGGTCTAAAGATTTTATTTCTGAAACAAGCCAAAAAAAAAAAAAAATGTTTTTCTTGTGATGACAGACATTAATGAAATATTTGTGGTTTAATCTCTTTCTCATCAATTTTCAGGGGTCCAGATTAGATGATCAAAGATGTGCTCCACCACCTGCCACCACAAAGGGACCAACAGTACCAGATGAGGACTTTTTTAGCTTGATTTTACGTTCTCAGGCAAAAAGAATGGATGAACAGAGAGTTCTCTTACAAAGAGATCAAAACAGAGACACTGAATTTGAACTGAAGAACCTTATACAAAGTAATGCTTTGTTAGAATTTAAAAATACAGGAAAAAAATAAGCAAACCTCTAGTTATTATGGATGTATTTTTTTTTTTTTTAATGACCTTATTTCCTTTCAGAACACTGCAGGGAAATTCAATCTATTACTTTTTCCTTAAAAGGAGAAATTATAGCATTGTAATACAGCTTAAAATGTTCTAGAATGATATAAATAACCTTTAATAGTATGATATTAATTAACATTTCTCTGGACACACTTGTTTCAGAGTGGAGGGGTCTTACAAAAGGTGCTTCATCAACTTTCATGATTCAAGCTCCGGACTGTGTTCTTTGGCAACTTGTTAGATTCCTTTACCTAGAGTTTGTAAAGTTGGAAGATAAATAAATCTAGACTAGAATTTAATCCTCTTGCTGAGATAATTTTTTTAAATCTGAATTGGCAATGGCTTTTTTTTATACTGAACCATGGATGTAGTGAGAAATTTTGCTGTTTAGTAAAAATAACATACTTGCCCATGTGTAAAAAAGTTATAGTCTTAATAAAAAAAAAATCTAGATCGATCTTTTTCTGCTAAGTCATATTTTCAGTATGTTATTAGTTCAAAGCCATTACAAAAAACTCTTAAATAAACTTCCAGCATGTTTTAGGCCCTTTAATTTTAAAGTGTGTGTGTGGCTTAAAATTATATTTTCTATTACAAAACACAGCTGTAAAACTTTTTAAGACCTAATGTCAAAACAAAACTTTAAATAAGAACCCCCCCCCCCAAAACTCTTGTGGTTCTATCAAGAACCTAAGCCATGAAAATAGAAAATAGATGAAATTCACAAAATTTAAGAATGAAAGATGTAAATTAAGCCTTCAGTCATCATTAAGCCTTCCCTCCCCCTTCCAGAAACTGAAGGTAATTTACAAGGGTATGTAATAGGACATGACACAAAGTAAGCTTAGCGAAAGAAGACAGCAAGGATGGAAAGAGCAGAGCCTAGCCTGAGGTTGAATTCTAGAATGCAAATGCCCACAGCCAGAACAAGCTGACAACTCATTCACCTCTGGTTGCTTCTGGTTCTGCACAGCCAGGATGGAATCAGGGGCTCTGTTCTTCCTAAAAATCCTTCAGGTGATTTGGTGGATAGTGAGAACCACTTCTCCAAACGGCCAATGTTTACAAAAATAAAATAGAAAGATAGTTAATCTGGGATCACATCAAAGGCTCAGGGGAAAAAAAGATTTTTGGTTCTAAGATCAGACAAATTTTGTCAAAAGTACTCAGCACCTGGATCATCTTGTCTTCTATATTACATACAGGATATAACGTCCTAGATAGCATCCTTGTAAAAACTGCACGTAAGTTTCATGGTTTTTTTTTTTCTTACAAGCATATTTGATGAGCAAAGACAGCATACCAAATCACAGTAATGTAAAAATAAGTGTTTATTTTGCATATACCATAGTTCTTAGACCCAGTAAACATTCAACATTATCTATTCCATTTAAACACTGCTTTTAAAAAGCTGTCAACCCCATTCTGATTTTCCTAAAAACCTGTTGCTAAAATCCTTAATTCTAATGACAGATACGGGCTGGACAAGAAACAAGTCTATTTCCCCAAGTTATAAACTGGCCTTGATCTGTTCGATCTGCTTTAGTGTCTTCCCTAAATTGCTGTCATCATTCAACAGCAGTGGTATGTTGCCTCGCTAGCTGTCAAGGTGGACCGCATCCCCAAATGGATATCTGTAATGAAAGAATACAAAGATGAAATTCTACTTAGTTTTTTACAGATCCATTTTTGGATTGATAAAAAGCAGTCAGGAGTTGAAACAGCATTAACTCCGCTATCATAGTTAAAGGTCTGTCACCTGAGGCATTCACTGCTCTTTAGAATCCAGTCACAGCTCTGATGACAACCACCCTAGGCACATATTTCCCCCACCCCCAGCACATATTTACCAGTTAGTGTGAACAGGTCTGGCCCTCAGGGAAGACTTCATATGCATCGATGTTCACAAAGCCACTCAGAACTGCAGGCACCCCTGCGTTAGTTCCTTTGTTCTAAACCTACTGTGTTGTGAATTTTTATATAAAATCCTGCTGTGTTTTCTGCAAAGAACTATTACCTTTCTGATGAATTACTAAAGATGTTTGCAGTATTAAACTAAAAAATAATATTAACAATAAATTCTACATCCTCTTGCTGAGGTAATTTTTTAAAATCTTAATTGACGATGGCATTTTTTTATACTTAACCAGGAACATACAGAAATTATGCTGTTTAGCAAAAACAATGTACTTGACCAAGGTGTAAAGTATTCTCCAGCTACTGACTATGTAAAACCACAATCACCGATTTAACAAGCTGTGCTAACTAAAGTCTCCTGGCCATCTTCATTTCTGTCTTAGCTGAGGGTAAAGAGGGGCAGCAAGAAAGCGGGCCCAGTGAGCGCCAGAAGAGTTGAGCGATGGAGGCACCACTCGCAACGACGAAGCCATGATGAGCTGGGGCAGCCTCCGCAGAGACCAGGGAACACAGGCTCGGTAACTGCATTAAGACACTAAAGTGCGTGAAGAGGGTAAAGCTGATGACAGCGGACTGTCCTTACAATGGTTTCTGAGTACCTGCCACTTTCAGAAACATACTGAATCCATGCACAACTCACAAATCATTAACTGAAGTAGGTATTACAGGACGGCCACTAGGCAACACACACAATAGCTAGTTGGTACCTATATATGTGTGTGAACCATAAAACTTATTTTTCATTGTTCCCTGATTCAAACCGGCCTCTTTAATTATTTGAAATCAGTGATGCTTGCCATATGTTCATCTATGAGATCCTGTTCCAAAATTAACACCTCAAAGTCCCGCAGGAAGCACCAATATGAAAATGAAATTACGCAAAAGATAAAATTAAACAGAAATACACGTGTATTCATTAGTTCTGATGGTGAATAAAAATATTAATGTTTAAGTTGGCACCTGTGGAGTAGTAAATGTCAGAATATTTGTAGAGAAGAGTGAATAGTTGTGAAGAGTATACTTTACAAAACCCAATGACGACCTCCGAGTGGTGGGCCGAGTCTGTGCTCCTCTAGCCACGTGGGCCAGTATCCAGATCCTTTCCACAGCTGGCTGGGCAAGACACACTGCCTTCCTCTGGGCTGCCTCTGGCATCAGTCCTGAGCTGGGCCTTTTCCTCTGCAGGTGAACCTTCCACCTTCTCTGATGTGTCTGGGCCAGAGACAGGCCTAGTAGACTGGCTACTGTCAGTACTGCTTTCTGGCGGTGTGCTTTCCTCCCGGATTCCACCAAATTCTTTGAGCTTTGTATCCAAAACAGGTAATTTATGCTGTAGAGAATGACATTTTAATTGTTTAATTAATGTAATGTGAAGATTCAGTCACCAAACACACTTAGTAAGTTTCTGTGTAAATCTGTATCAAACTCTCAACTGTTTCAAATCCCAGCTCCAGTGCTGTGCTGTAATTATGTCAATGTTCGTAATCCTCACAGAACCCTGCACAGAGGAGTGGGGGCATTTAGGATAGCCAGGTGGTCTAGTGACCCAGCTTTAGGAGAGCAAGAGGACTGGTGACCAGTACTGCTGACTCCTCTTGCCTGGTGAGAGTAATTCATATTTACTGATCCTATATTCAGTTCCAGGTACTGGGGATACAGCAGGAACAAAACAAAAACCCTTGCCCTCACTGGAACTTAGGTTTAGCTTGGAGACACAATCAAGCAACAAACTAACAAAGTACCAAGCTGGGGCCAGAGTGCTGTTTAAATTAGGTAGTTGGAAAGGTGATACAGGAGTAAAGGCTTAAAGAAATGAACACTTCAGCATTCTAGACAGGGAGCAGCAAGTGAAAAGGTTCTGGTTCATGGAACTGTGAGGAGGCCCTTGTGCCTGAAGGAGAGCGAGAGTAGGAGGAGAAGAAATCCATGTACTAATGAAGGCGGACTGTGGGCAGATCCAAGAAGCCCCGGCCACTGAGATAACTAGCTTTCCCTTTAAGTGAGATGAACAGTCCCTGGAGGATTTGGAATGAGTGGTGCACTGCCATTAACTATTAAAGCTGAAAGGCACGACGGAAAAAATTTTAGATGTATGCAAGTATGTTTCCTCTTACAAGAAACTCCAATGGAAGGGATTCTAATTTTCTAGATTCAACTGTGCTCACAACTGTTTCTCAAAGGTTTACAGTAACAACTTAAGACATCATAAATTCCGCTCTCAAAACAGAAATGCAAGTCTCCCTTTAAATGGCCAATAATGGGGACGCCTGGGTGGCTCAGTTGGTTAAGCAGCTGCCTTCGGCTCAGGTCATGATCCCAGCATCCTAGGATCGAGTCCCACATCGGGCTCCTTGCTCATCAGGGAGCCTGCTTCTCCCTCTGCCTCTGCCTGCCATTCTGTCTGCCTGTGCTTGCTCTCTCTCTCCCTCTCTCTCTCTCTCTGACAAATAAATAAATAAAATCTTTTAAAAAATAAATAAATAAAAATAAATGGCCAATAATGTAGAAAAAACACCTCAGCATTCTGCGGGTAGAAAGTAGAGAGTCTAACCAATGATACCAAGGATTTGGGAAAGCAGGGTGTGTGACCCCTCCCCACCCAGTCTCCCACCCAGCTGAGCCTTCAGGACTCTCCTGCAGGATCCCCGGGGCTCTGGGCCTTCAGTGAGGACTTCTCTCTCAGCTCTTCAAAAGGCAGAAATCTCAGTCACGATTAGTTGGTTTCCTATGAATTAGCACCTGTTCTAACTACTGGTTAATAGTATTTAACATAAAAATTAAATCTCGTTTTAAATCTTCTAAGAAGGCCGAACTTTTGACCAGAAAAGAGAGAGTAAACAATTATATCAATAACGATATAATTAACCGTGGAAAGTAAAAGAGCAGAAACGCCTAACCAGAAGCTCCACAGGAAGCACTGAGGTCTAGCATGAAGGGGGATGGCAAAATAAACAATTGCTGACTTACACAGGGTACGGCCTTGGGATGCTCTCTCGCCTCTGCCTGGGGTACATCACATGGCCGGAGCACTTCGGGGCTCTTGTTGCCAGTCCTAGGCCTCAAGTCAACATCTCTCTCTCTCATACCATCTCTTCTACCCTCATATGTTCTGTCATACGGGCCTTGCTCAAAGGGGCCATAGTGGCCTCTATAAGGGAAATCTGCATCACCTGCTCCACCATGGGGTCTATAATCAACTTCCTGCAGCCGTCCTCTATCACCTGGCTTAAGTGCCCGGGGTGGTTCTCTCTCAGGACCACCTATATGTCTCAGCATATTAACTGATTTTCCAGCACCATAGCAGAAACTCTAGAAGAAAAAGAAAAAAAATATAGTATATAATGGCTGACTTACAATGAAATTATTCAGGGTGCTAGCAAAATTACCTAACTTGACTCAAGGGCATTTGGAGACATAAACATGTTTATTTTACCATTGTTTCATTTGTGATCCCTTGCTTAGATTAATACGAGGCCAGAATAGCCAATAAAATGTGAGAAATCACTAAGTGTTAAGTAGACAGTTCAATCAGCTGAACACATTTTGACTGAATTCTAACAAGGGCAGTTGGCTAAAACCTAGAAACTGAAACTGGAAGGTACTAATTGATAACTGCTCATTAACTGTCTATTTTCACACCCACTATATAAGGTAAATGCTAAAAATCAGAGTTACACACATCATTACATAAACATTCTCATGTATGGTAGCTTTCCTACAAATCAAACTTGGCTTTAGTGACAACTAAAATCCCAACAGGCTTTGAGTCCCATTTCATGGGAAAAACTAGGCAGCTGACCCCTGGCGGGAGGGGTTGGGGGGGGGATCCCTGGGACAGTTTCAGGGACTCTGTGAGGTCAAACTTTCCCTATTTCAAAGACCTTAAGTCTTTTTTTACTCTTCCCTTCTGAGTGTATGGTGGAGTCTGCTGGGGACAGAGTAACTTCCTCACTCTGATGGCTCGACTGTGTGCTTGTATAGACTTATATTTGAAATTTTTCTTAGTTTTAATTCCTAATATGGTAAATATCAATAAATAAAACCCCTATGAACAAGAGCTCTTCGTGGTCCTCAGTTTTTGTTTCTTGGAGGCTTTTCTTGTTTTTTGTTTTGTTTTGTTTGTGGTCTGCAGTTAAGACGGAAGGCAAAAGGATCCTAAAAACAAAAAGTTTGAAAATCACTGTGCTGGAGAAAACTATTTAAGACGAAGCAGTAAGAGATGATGGGTTTTTGCTTATAATACAGCTTCAGAGACTAAATACAAATCGTCCCCCACTTACGATGGTTCAACGTGTAATTGTTAGGCTTCACAATGCTCAGAAAGTGATAGTGTGTTCAGTAGAAACTGTACCTTGAATTTAGAATTTGGACTTTTTCCTGGACTAATGATTTGGGGTCCGATCCTCTCTGGTGATGCTGGGCAGGGCAGTTCTTGGTCAGCCACGGGGTCTTGAGGGCGAACAACCCCTACCTTCACAACCACACCTTACCCACACAGCCATTCTGTTTCTCACTTTCAGTACAATATTCAATGAACTATGTGAGATATCTGACACTTTGTTATAAATTGTTATAAAAATGGGCTTTGTATCAGATTGATTTTGCCCAACTACTCTGAGCAAGTTTAAGGTGGGCTAGGCTAAGTTATGATGTCCTGCAAGCTAGGTATAGTAAATCCATTTTCGACTTACAGTACTTTCAACTTACAATGGGTTTATTGGGATGTAATCCTATAAGTCAAGGAAAATCTGCACTACTAAACAATTCATGTCACCTAACAAAACCATATCCCTAAACCTGACTCCTGTAATCACAAGTCAAAAAAAGCAAACAGGAATAATTTCAAAGTGAATAAAGTGTGGTAAATTCTGTATCCTTAGGGAAGACAATCCTTTTTAATTATTATTAATTTAAATTGGAAGGCATTAATTGTCTGATAATTACTCCTATGTTGTGTATATTCACACCCATCAGAGAAAGTAAATGCTGAAAATATTTAAAGTCGTAAACTTTAAATAGGTTAATTCCTTTACAAATACAAACCTGGCTTTTACCATGGCACATCTGGGTTCTTTACATTTTATGTGACAACTGCTTTATTAGGAAAAGGGCTGAAAATCAACAATAAAAAAGCTAAAGAGACAACAGATGAATGATGAATAATGTTTCCTTTTAATAAATGTCTATTCCTGGATCCCCCAACTTTCTCAGTAACTCACCTTCTCCTACATCCCTACTTAATTCTGTGGAAAAGCCAATGCTCTTCCCCCTCTCAGTGCTGCAAAAACCCCAGACTGAAATAAGGCCCTCTTTCTCAAAGAGGACAAAAACAACTGACTTCATGTATATTAAATATTCACCAAGTTGAAGAACAAATTTAGAAAAATGTTATTATTCTAAGTCACTGCCATGACATCTACAATCAAACTTGAGAATCGTTTTCTTGCTTAAATATACATATAAGTAAAAATAAATCTGTTTCACTTAAAAATCATCTTTTCATACCATTAAGCATAATTTAGCCTGATTTACAACAGCAAAAAAGTCAAGTTTTAGAATTGCCTTTTTTCTCCAAGTGCTGTTAACAAACCATGCTGTATACTAACCAGGACAGCTAATGCCATAATGATCAGCACTGGAATGTGAAGTAATACTGGAATCTCCTTCATGAACTCTTTAATAAATTCACCAGCTCCCTTCCCAACGTATTTCAACGGCTCTGTGACAAAGTTGGTGAATGTAACTGCCAGTGCCTAAAACAAAAGATAACAACAACTTAATTTTTCTCTCAAAGGACTGAGCACACAGAATGAGCCAAAATTCACTGTACACTGGGGCCAAAATTACATTCCTAAGTTAAAATGCTTTCAATGTGAAAATCATTGTGTAATGGAAGTATTTTCTCTAGAACGAGGATTTCTTATTAGCAAAATGTTTAAAAAAAAAAAAAAAACACTAACAACTTTTAATAAATACAAGAGATTTTTTTTTTTTTTTTTTACTAACTTTGTATAAGTAATTTTACAAATGTATTCTATACCTTTGTTGGCGGGACCAACCAAATAGGGTTGACTAATAAGAGTTCATAGTATTTTTGGCACGGGTCATCCTTATAGGTCCATGAGCTTCTTAACAATTCTATTTAGAGAAACAGACAAAACACTGAGTCATTAAAAAAAAAAAAAAGTTGCATTTCATTCTCAAATAAGACAATAATTTGGTTTTGTCCCTGTCCCCACCACCAACCAATTTTAAATGCTGTACAAATGGACTCCTTGTAACACTGACTTAAAAATTTTTCATCTTATGTCCAAAATGTTTATCTTAAAAATCTCTTTAAATCAGACAAGTTTTATGTAGATAAAACATTATACTTTATGAAAACTTCTAAAAGGTAGGTATTAAGAACTGTTCTTCACACACACAAATGATTCCAACTAAAACCACGGAAATCTGAGGGAGATCGCTGAATTATATGCAAGTTGATATCCTGGCTGTGATCTCACATTGCCATCTTTGTGTAAGATGTTTACACAGGAGGAAAATGGGAAAAGGGCACATTGATTTGTTTTCCTTCCAACTTCCTGTGCATCTAGAATTATCTCAGTAAAATTTCAATTTTAAAAAATCCCTTACTTAACAAAGAACATCAGTTTTCCCAATTTTTCTAAATTTTTAAAATCTAAACCTCCTAGAGGATGCATTCGATTGTCCCCTGCACCCAGGAAGCAAGGCCAGATTGGTTTAGTTCCCACAACTTTTAAAGAAACATTAATTCGGACACCCTGTTTTATACAATCTGTGGAGATTCTATTCTGGGTCAGTTATTATGGACTTGCCTTTATAAAGTGCCTTTGAACACTAAACCATTCCTATGGCTAGATATACAGAACTAAAGGCAGTCAATGAGAATGTATATACAATCTGTAAGGCAGTAGTGAGAATGTACATACAATCTGTAAAGAAAAAGAAAGTTAAAGAACTTTCCTCTTAGGAAAAAAAAATTGTATAGTAAAGCTACAACATAAGATTTTGTAAGTCCGTATAAGGAGATTAAGCTTAAGATGGATATTAATTCATATAAACACTGATTCACTTCTTTAATGCACATGTGGGCTAGACAGACAAGATGAGCACCATCTCGATCACAGTCCAATGGAGGAGACAGTAGCAGTACGGGAGCCGGTGAAGACACAGTTCTTATTCCCTCCCCGAGAGGTTACATGAGCCAAGAGTCACGGTCTGAACCCTGACTTTTCGGGCATGTTCTTCTGACACTGAGGACTCAGTCATGGAAACCCTCCTTCCGGCATTTTATCATTTCTCTAAGTTATCTCCTTCCCGGAAAAAAATGAGGCCCAGTGAACCAATACCTTACCCCAGAGGCTTCCAATCCAGTCCATCTTCTCAGCACACACATTGTTTAACGGCTCCAGCTTGGCAACCTCGGCCTGATGCTGTGCGAACGCGAGCTGACCGACACCAAAAGGGAGCAGTGAGTGGCTGCGGACATGAAGGTTATGTCTACACATCCAAAACCCTGACTTCAAAACGTGTCTTCACCAGATACCAGACTGTTCAGTTTTTTTAACAGGAAAAAATACACTTTTAAATGGCAGCTCTTTTCCACTCATGGCAAAGCAGTCTTAAAGCAACGAGTGAGGATAAAGAACTACGGTTACAAAGTACTTCTTTGTTAAGTACTTTTGATGAGAAATGCAAACCTTTGTACTTTTTATAATAAAGATTTAGTGTAAATCTAATTCATACCACACCCAAAAATATAGTTATATATATTAAATGACCACTTCTCATTTTCTTTCATAATTCATGATAAAATGGAGTTTTGTTCTGGGTGGTTTTCAGCACAAGTGGCCTAGATAAAAAGATAACATTTTTTATATATCCAAGCCCTGGGGGAAACTGCCAAGATAACAATATTCAACCAAACTTTTTTTAATTTGAAAATAATTAGTTCTAGAAGCTATAGAACTTAGAGCAAAAGGTTAAGGATTGATTTAATCAGATAACTTCATCAAAAATATTTTGCTACATGACTCATTCTGCCAGACAGATCTAAAATTGTCCTTCAACGCGATTTCAACACAACAGTAGTGCTTCATTTGACTCTATATTCACCATGACCCCAATTTTGAAAGAATTAAAATTCTGGAAAAAGACCAGAAAGAAATACCTGAAATTACTGAGGGCAATTATCTCTAGGTGACAAAATTATATTTAACTTTTAAAAGTCAAATTTCTGGGGTGCCTGGGTGGCTCAGTCGGTTAAGTATCTGCCTTTGGCTCAGGTCATGATCCTGGAGTCCTGGGATTAAGCCCCACATTGGATTCCTTTGCTCAGTGGGGAGTCTGCTCAAGGCTTCTCTCTCCCTCTGCCCCACCTCCTGCTCACACTTGCTCATTCATTCTCAGTTTAAAAAAAAAAAATCAAGGGGCACCTAGGTGGCTCAGTCATTAAGTGTCTGCCTTCAACTCAGGTCACGATCCCAGGGTCCTGGGATTGAGCCCCATGTTGGGCTCCCCACTCTGTGGAACCCTGCTTCTCCCTCTCCCACTCCCCCAGCTTGTGTTCCCTCTCTCACAGTCAAATAAATTAAAAAATATATATTTTTTTAATAAAAATTTTTTTTTAAATCAAATTTCTCTGTATAACTTTCTATTTTTTCTAAATCGTCTACCATCAACATACCACTTTCATATTCAGAAAATAACCTAACTTTTAAAAAACAACATTTTGATATCCTTTCTGGCAAAGAATAAAAGGACATACTCTAAACTACCTACACAAAATTCTTAAAAATGCATCTACCTAGCTCTATTCCGATTTAGCCACCCAGATGCCACCCGTCAGAAACTGGGTTACGAATCAGGCCTGCACCAAACCGGTCAGGGACCCAGAACACCAGAGACAGGCAAGCGGCTGCCAGCACCCACCCCCCACCCGCCCCATCTCCGATCACTGCGGACACTTTAAGTCAGGCACTGTGGTCTTCTGTTATTATGAAGTAACAGTGAAAAACATGAAAACGCTCCACCTATTTAATACCTTATATAAATACATCCAATTCCATCCCAAACTGACGAGGAAACTGATGAATAACACACGTCTCAGCTGGGTGTACCAATGCACATACGTCCACAGCTCGGTAGCTACTAATCCCACGATACAGAGCAGACACAGAAGCACCTCGAAAACAGGAAGAAGCAGAGAGCAGGGTTACTGCTAAGCCACCCTCCCTGCTGAAAAATGATAATCATCAGCGAAAACAAAAGAACTGGCCTCAAATATGCAACGTCATCTGTGCCACACTCGGCCACAGAGGTGGTGACAGACAAGTGTCTTCATCTGGGTTTTTAACATGATTATAGTACAGGGGCTTCTTAATTTTTATTTAAATTCAATTAATATACAGTGTATTATTAGTTTCAGAAATAGAGGTCAGTGATTCATCAGTTGCATAGAACACCCAGTGCTCATTCCATCACATGTCCTCATCACCCTGTTACTCCATCCCCACCCTTCTCCCCTCCAGCAACCCTGCCTGTTTCCTGGTTGAGAGTCTCTTATGGTTTGTCTCCCTTTCTGATTATGTCTTTTATTTTTTTCCTCTCTTCCCCTATGATCCTGTCTTTTGTATCTTAAATTCCATATATCAGCGAGATCATATGATAATTATCTTTCTGACTGGCTTATTATTTCACTTAACAAAACACCCTCTAGTTCCAGCCACATCATTGCAAATGGCAAGACTTCTTTTTTTGATGGCTGAGTAATACTCCATTATATATACCACATCTCCTTTATCCATTCTTCAGCTGATGACATCTGGACTCTTTCCACAGTTCGGTTATTGTGGACACTGCTGCTATAGACATTGGGGTGCAGGTGCCCCTTCGGATCACTACATTTGTATCTTTGGAGTAAATACCCAGTAGTTTGCTGGGTTGTAGGGTAGCTCTATTTTTCAACTTCTTGAGGAACCTCCACACTGTTTCCCAGAGTGGCTGCACCAGCTTGCATTCCCACCAATAGTGTAAGAGAGTTCTATGGTGGAGTTTTTAAAGCATTTTTTTAAAGGAGCTGTTACTTATGTCCCCCTTGTCCCATCTTACCATCAACACATTATATGGATCCACTCCAAAGGAGTCTTCAAATCGCCACTTCCATGTTTCAAAATCATGAAACTTAAAATTAATTAAAATATCACTTAGTGCATCATCCAAGGCTCCTGGTTTCCAATCCTCTCCACTGAGAAACTTCTGTATTTCTAACAAGGTTTGTCTTTTTAGAATAATCTCAGCATCATAATGCATATCATCTTTGTTTTCTTCAGGCTGTATTTGCCCAAAAAACAGAAAAGAGAAACACTTCAAGACAAAAGCCGATTTGGAACTAAATATATTTGTAGTTTGTATTTCACATGTATAAAATAGGAGTAATATTATCCACCTATTTGTCTCACATAATGACCAGAAATCATACATGTGAAAACCATTTCAAAAATTATAAAACTCTATGCAAATAAGATACTTTGCATTTTACCAAAATACGGTCGATTCTTACTATTGGCAACAGTTTGTTCTAGGACGTCACCTCGGACACTAGTTAACGAATACCTGAGCTACGGCTCCTACAGGAAATACAGGGTTGCGTTTCTACCAAGACATTTTCATCAGCCAGTCAATACACAACACTTTTATGTGTTTCTACTTAAAGATACCTTATTTAATACTTTTGATTAACACGGAATGCACAGCCCACAGCACTGTAACTCCTGCCCAAAAAAAGCTTATCTAACATGAGTATTTTCCCTGGAAGGCACATCCTAGCCTTCTCATGACTCAGAGACACTAGACCACACTACTCCTGGGAGTTAAACACCCAAATAACATCAACAAAAGTGTGAAATATAAAGCACTAAATAAACCATAAAGAAGTACTTGTTTATAGTCTGAGAGCTGAAAACAGAAGACAGAACAAAGCCTTGCCCAGCCTCAGCTAGGACTGGACACACCAGGCAACGCGAATGCTTTGCGGCTTTGTGTGTGTCCGAGAGGCGCGCAAACGCTCTGCAAGTACTGACTCTGAGATTACAAAAGGTTCACGAGTATGCAAATTCACAAATACGGAATCCACAAATAATGAGCATCAACCGCTTGATTCATTTACGACTTTCCATTTGCTAACTTTATTTTCAAGTAGCCTAAAATACAATAATACAAATTTTTTTTAAAAGGATCTCAAAAAGGGGCGCCTGGGTTGCTCAGTAGGTTAAGGCCTCTGCCTTTGGCTCCGGTCATGGTCCCAGGGTCCTGGGATCCAGCCTCACATCGGGCTCTCTGCTCAGCAGGGAGCCTGCTTCCTCCCCTCTCTCTCTCTGCCTGCCTCTCTCCTCTCTGCCTACTTGTGATCTCTGTCAAGTAAATAAATAGAATCTTTAAAAAAAAAAAAAAAATCTCAAAAAGCAGGCAAATAAATTGGGAGTTTCCATGAACAAACATGATATTTATAACTATCTTTATTAACGTGAGTTCAGGTTAGCAATATCACTATGAACATTTTACATTCATTAACTGTTAAGCAAAATGTTTCTCTTTCACAAGAGTAAATACAGATACTTATAGAAAAGCAAATATAAAATCAGGAAAAAAAGTGTCATGTAACAACACAAGTCACCACTAACATGAAAAAGCAGTCATCCATTACTATCTAAAAAACCTTGAACTAAAAAAAGCAAACAAAAAAACCTTGAGCTAAATGCCAATTACCTCCATCATAGGAATTTTTTGGCTCTATCTGTATCCTCATCCCACACACACTTATAAGACTTGACTAAAAGGATGCATGTATGAGAACATCTGCTTTTTCACTTCAAAAATAAGATGGGATTATTAAATATTTATCTAACATTCCTTCCCCTTAAGTTTTCTTGATGTTTTGACTCCTCGGAGTGAAAACAAGAACTCTAAAAAAATGGAATCTTAACATTAATTATGGACAATATGCACATGATATGCAATTCTATAAAGGAGCCCTTGCCACAGTAAAAAGCTTCCAGGTGGGGGGAGGACCTACTTAAAACACACTGTTCTTTTTCTCAGCATAGAATGATCTTTTATCATATGAACAAGAAAGTGTGCAAGTGGTCAGCATAGAATTTCCTTGCCAACTCACAAAAGTATTAAATTTCCAACTGTTTAGTAAAACTCAAACAGCAAATTTAAGGTACCTCCCCACATCTGAAATTAATAATTAAAATATCTACCACAGTGATTAGTATCCCACCAACACTCACAAGTCCAAGCTTTCTGGCTTCGATCAAAATCTTATGTAAGTATCTCCTAAAAACAGGATTGCTTTGACTTTCATAGTCTTCCTTCTTCTTCTTCTCACACTCATCAATCTGTAATTACAGAATAAATTCAACATTAGACAGCATCCAAGTTTCACATAAGGGTCGTTTCTAGCCTAGCGGCCCCATCAACATCAAAGTAAGGAGCTTACCGTTATTACTTATATGAAAATACAGAACTTCCTACCTTCTGTGGGTTCTCTTTGCAAAGGGCAAGTAGGTAACAAATGAGGAACACATGTCCAGCACTTAGCCCCAAATGGCAGTTTTTCTGATGACTTTCAGCAATTTTTTTTTTTAAAGACTGATCTATTTGAGAGAGGGAGAGAGAGTGAGCACACGCACAAGCAGGAGGGGCAAAGGAGTGAGAGAGACCATCTCAAGCACACTCTGCCCTGAGAGCGGAGCCAGATGTGGGGTTGGATCTCCCAACTCTGAGATCGTGACCTGAACTGAAATGAAGAGTTGGAAGCTTAACCAACTGAGCCACCCAGGCGCCCCTCACTTTCAGCAATTTTAAAGCTGAAGATCATGAAGCAAGGGGCAGAGATGCAGATGAGAAGATCATCTGGGACAATCTGCCTCTTCCCAATCCCAAAGCAATGATTCAGTGAACAAAGGAATAAAAGGAAGAAGAAAGGGAAGGAAGAAAGAAAAAACAGAGATAGGGAAACGTAAAAGATGAAGCCAGAAGATGAAATGAAGGGCACATCAAGGAGTTTCTTGAACGTGTGTATTACTTTTGGTCTTTTACTAATTTTTCCTGTCAACGACTGAGCACGCCCAACTCTACAGGCCGCACTTCAGGAGGGCAGAAACACGGCTTCTCCAGAGTGTCTGAGCATGGCAACCCTCCACACATAATTCATCCTTCAGATTTCCTCTGAACTGAGCTCTACAAACACCACAGTGGTCAAGTCACTGAGTGAGGGCAGTTCATATCTTAGATATGAACTACCTTAGAACTGCCTTAGAACCTGTGATAACCAACTTTTATTTTCTGAGTGTGAACCACAAGCTGAGTTAGCATTTGAAATGGGCTTCAGATGATGGACATGACAACCGAATGTCACACACAGACTTAGGAGAGAAGGACCCTTGAAAAGTCACATGGCAGTTTCCTCCACATGCAGGCAAGGTTTATAAACCTTTTTAAATTTCTCTTTTAGAGAATTTCTGAGAGAGAGAGAGAGAGAGCAAGTACGAGCAGGAGGCGGTGGGGGGGCAAAAGGAGAGGTGAATCTTAAACAGGCTCCACACTCAGCATGGAGCCCCTTATAGGGCTCGATCTCACCACGCTGAGATCATGACCTGAGCTGGAATCAAGAGTCAAATGTTTAACCAACTGAGCCACCCAGGAGCCCCTTTAAGAGAATGTTTTGTGCAGGGTTTCTTTCTTTTTTTTTTTTAGATTTTATTTATTTATTTGAGAGAGAGAGACAGTGAGAGAGAGCCAGCATGAGAGGGGAGAAGGTTAGAGGGAGAAGCAGACTCCCCATGGAGCTGGGAGCCCGATGCGGGACTCGATCCCAGGACCCCAGGATCATGACCTGAGCCAAAGGCAGTCGCCCAATCAACTGAGCCACCCAGGCACCCATTGTTTGTTTTGTTTTGTTTTTTAAGATTTATTTATTTTGTGGGTGGGCAGAGGGAGAGGGAGTCTCAAGCAGACTCCATATTGAGCATGGAGCCTGACACAGAGCTAGATCTCACGACCCGGAGATCACAACCTGAGTGGAAATCAATTAACTGCATCACCCAGGTGCTCTGAGAATGTTTTATAAAACAAGGACTCGAGACTCCATTTTATCATATTTTTACAATGCTAAGCCCAAGATGCAAAGAATGGAGTGAAAAATTTCTGTATTTCCTAGTGTGCAGCCAAACAAGCTGTCACGATACTACAAAACACAGTTAAACTGAGGCAAATTTTATCCAAGCATTTCTTTGCTAGCACTCAGATGAGACAGCATTCACACCCAATAAGAACCACAGCAGCACTGACAGATCTGGAATTGAGATCTCCATATCTCTGCTCACAAGCTCTCCCAGTCTCTCAAGCTGGAAACCTCCCTCCTCCACTCTATCCCTCTTCCCTCTTCCCTCCTCCCTCAGCTACCCAAATTTACCTATTCCACCTTGGAGAAATCCAACACTTTCTTCTTCAACACCTGTCACGGCCTCAGTTGGAGCATTGGGCATTGCTGGACCTCTGCTACCCTCTCCTTCAGCTACCCCCTTCCACTGGGCCACCAGCTGATGGCCTCCACAGGCAAGAGGCCAGTTCCCACTCCACAGCATATATTCAAACCCCTTAACAATCTTGATTTATTTCCTTTCTCATAAACTCCATTTCAGCCACACAAATAAAAATATTGGATAAATGAAGGAATAGCTACCAGATTCTAAATTATAATAATCCCTTATATTTGTAAGAGTAATTCTTACATTTCATGGGTTGCCTTTGTCATGAGTCTATTATGACCCAGCACTGTGAAAGGTGACAGAAAATCAAAAACAAATAGAACATATTCCTTGTCCCTGGGGCACCTGGCTGGCTCAGTCGGTTAAACGTCTGCCTTTGGTTCAGGTCATGATCCAGGGTCCTGGGATCGAGCCCCCGTCAAGGTCCCTGCTCAGTGGGAAGCCTGCTTCTCCCTCTCCTCCCTGCTCATGCTCTCTTCTCACTATTTCTCTCTCTCTCTCTCAAATACATAAAATCTTTTAAAAATATATAAATATATTCCTTGTCCCAAGAAATGTTCAGTCTGGTAAAGAAATAATTATAACATGGTGAGATAAATGTTATTACAGGAAAATAAGAGTACTTAAAAACAAACAAACAAAAAAAGGCAATGCCAGAGTAATGAAAAAGAAGACAAGGCTAGAGTAACTAAAGAAAAAAATTATACATAAATTATGCAGTACATACATAGAAACACATACAATGTTAGGAAAGACAGGAAACAGACAACGTACCGTAAGCATAAAATTCATGAATTAAAAAAAGTTCCTACCTTATGAGTTAAAGAATCAAGTTTGCTATAACATTCCAACAATTCATCAGCATGTGACAAGTCGGGGCTGACTTTTTTCTCTGATACGCCATATTTTACCTAAAGCAAAAGAGAGATTTTATTTCTTCATAATTCAGTTATGAAAATAACCTAAAGTTAATGAAAACTAAAATCTGACTTCATCATTTTATGACTCTGTCATATTCTTCATCTGTGTTGAACAACCAAAAAAGAGTCTCAAATTTACTAGCTAAGAACTAAAATCAAGTTAGTTGGCAGCTCGACAGGCTTTACATTCATATTCAACACAGAAATAAGCAGGTGGGGCTGAAATCATCTTAGACTAAGACCCAGGGAGATATTCTACATGGCTGCTAGTCATTGGTACATGACTCTTGACTCTGGAAGCTCTGTGAGTAACAGAAGTAGACTATTTCCATTACAGGACCAATAAGATCTTACGCACATGCATTTTTTTTTTTTTTTTAAGATTTAATTTATTTATTTGACAGAGAGAGAGACCACAGTAGGCAGAGAGGCAGGCAGAGAGAGAGAGGAAGAAGCAGGCTCCCCGCTGAGCAGAGAGCCTGATGCGGGGCTCGATCCCAGGACCCTGGGATCATGACCTGAGCTGAAGGCAGAGGCTTTAACCCACTGAGCCACCCAGGCGCCCCGCATTTTTTTTTTTTTTAATACCTGAGATTTTCTCATTGTTCCCGAAGCAGCATCATAGTTAAGCATGTCTGTGGGGTCAATCCAGTCATCATCATGAGCATAACCGGTTATTAGCCACAGACACTCACAAAGGAGCAGAGAATACAGCATCCTGCATGAAGGCTAAAAAAAATTTTAATAGACATAATGAAATATAATTATTTTTAGAAGAAATGGTTTTATATATATATATATATATATATATATATAAAATGGTTTTATAATAAAAACTATCTACTTCCTTCTAGTACTAAGATAAAGTTTTCTTTCTGAATAATAACTGAAATAAAAATACTCAGTAAAATCTAAAATCTAAAAATCTCAATCTTCCGGCCACGTTCCAGATCAATCGAATCAGAATCTCCAAGGCTGGGCCCCAGGTGCTGAGATTTTTAAAGCCCCTCAGGTGGCTCCAATACGCAGCAAGGGTAAAAAACCACCATGCTACGATGCGGACTTTTCCAGGGGGAAGTAACCTCTTATTCCCATCAGAATTCACCCCGCTGAGAACTCTCCATTTTGCCTGCTCCACCTCTCCACGTCCAAGACCTAGCCCAGCAGTTGGTGCATGAGAGGCATTCAACAAATGTTTGTTAAGCAGCAAATGCAAATGGTCAAAGCCACACAGGCAGTCACAAGGTTTTAGAGGTTCAAAGGGTAAAGCAAGCTCATCCAACTGACTGGGGGAGACTGGCACCACTTCATGGAGGAACGGGGTGGAGATAGAGAAGCGTGGGTAACATGCAAAGAGGGCGAGATGAGGGAGGCAGAGGAGCGAAGTGAACCCTCGAAAACGTCAACTTAAGGATGGACGTGCTGGGGCCGGGAGATGGTTGGATGACAAGGTAGGCTTGGGCGATAAGGCCCACAGCCAGCCTCATCTGCTACTAGTAGCTATGAACGCAGGGGAGCCACATCTGGGGAAGAGAAAAGCAGCAGTAAGTGTACAGAATGAGGGAAAAATTGGACTTAGTAGAGTCCTACAAGGAGGCTGAAGAGCGTTCTAAAGATTAGTTCTACAGCCCTCAACCACTGAGTGTCCGTAAGGCAACAACAAAAAGGTATTATCACTAACTTCAAAGAAATTCAGAATGAGAACACGGTTTTGGGGAAAAGCTCAGCTTTCATTTGTTCAAAACTTATTAAACACCAACTGGATATTGGGCACTATCTTAGGTGACGGGGATACCAGGAAACTAGCCCAGGTTTTAAGAAGCTACATGGAGGGGAGGGGCACATGAGGCCGGGGAATGCGGTGGAATAATAAGTTGACAAAAAAATAAATATCATTTCAAATAGTGATACATCCTATGAAAAAAATAAAGCAGGATAGTGGCAGGATGGATTAGGCAATGTTGAGTATTTTAGAGAAGACCTGAGATTAAAGATAGCCAAAATTCCATCAAGTCCCCATCAAGAGATGGGAGTTTATTTGCCCTCCTCCTGCATCTGGGCTGACCCTATGAAATCATGGGTCATGAAAAGAGGAAAACCTGAAATAAAACAAAAACGTTTCTCTGGGGTTTAGAATTATAATTCGGGAAGCAACCCAAATTGTGGCCCACTGCAGGGAGAAAGTTAGGGGTTTTTATAAGAAAAAGGAGGAAGGGGGTGGGGCGCCTGGGTGGCTCAGTGGGTTAAAGCCTCTGCCTTTGGCTCAGGTCATCCCAGGGTCCTGGGATTGAGCCCCATATCGGGCTCTCCGCTTGGCAGGGAGCCTGCTTCCTCCTCTCTCTCTCTCTCTCTCTGCCTGCCTCTCTGCCTACTTGTGATCTCTCTCTGTCAAATAAATAAATAAAATTTGGAAAAAAAAAAAGAAAGAAAGAAAGAAGAAGGAAGAAGTATAAGATACCTTACATCAGCTGTCTACCAAGAATTATAACTGGAAGATATTACAATTTATAATTCATTGTTTTCTAGGTATGTTAGTTGCTAGGGAAGTCCCTTTTTCAGAGTGTCCAATTTTTGTTAAAAAAAATACAGACACATCATCAAGGTGCTCAGTCATATGCTCTTGCCCAGTTCAACAACTGAATGCAATTCCTGTTCCAAAAACGTGATGAAGTTTCTGTCACAATCTTCTTACGAGTAAAGGTTTTACATAGGTTCACAATATTTAGCCAAAATATTGTGGTAGAAATGATGTTGTTTTGGTTCTAGGTGTGGCTTGGCCTATATGAGGTTTAGCTGCTTCTACATCACTTTCCAATGCCTGCTTTTTGATCTCTGCCGACATGCCGTGAAAAGACCTGGCTACATGGAGAGGCCATGTGCAGAGGGCACACTTAGCTTCCAGCTGGCAGCCAACACCAACGGCCAGCCATGTGAATGAGCCATCATGGTGGTCCCAGTCCAATCCCATGGTTGGACAGACTTAGGACCCAGCCAATATGACGTGGAATAAAAAAACTATGCCGATGAGTCCAGTCAAAGCCCATAGAATCATGAAAAATAATAAAATCGTTGTTTAAAGCCTCTAAACTTTGAGGCGGTTTGTCACACAGCTGCAGATGACCACAACATTTAAGCAGACAAATAAGCAGCAGCTACCTTAGGAAGACTTGGCAAAAGAACATCCAGAGTGTAGACGCAGCAAGCATAAAGATCAGAGCGGGAAGAAAATCTGAAGCATTCAAAGAACAGCAGGAAGGTCAAGATGACGTAGTAACTCCATGCTCAAAGCACTCCCAGGGCTCCTACACCGGGTCAAAATGTGTACCAGGTGTACCCTCCTGCCTGAACAACCAAAACCTCTGCACAAAGTCTATGAAATAAGTTTTCAAGACACAGGACACCAGGCAAACAAGCATAATGGTCTTTGAAAAATGGGAAACAAACACAGACAGCCTTTCCATTGCCCTAGTTTACTGCCTTAATAGTTTCCAGGCCACTGCACAGGAAGAGAGACCTCAGGCAGAGCCCAGAAAGCCACTGTGGAAACAGCTGAGAATCTGGGGGGACCGAGGCAAGAGAAAGGTGCCAAGAGAACTCCAGACAAATGAAGACATTTGACCCCAGTTCCTTCAAATACCCTAGGAATTTCCTGAGTGACAGCAGTGTCTCCTGCAATGAGGTGACACTGATGTGACTTTGCTGGACCCCAAGGAAGCTTCAGGTGGGGGATGGTCATCAGAAAGACCAGGCACGCAATCAGAGTGCTGGAACTTTCTTGGAACTTTCAACTATCCAACCTCAGGGGAAGGAAGGAAAGTGGTCACTAAGTTCAATCACACAGCCAATGATTTAATCAGTCATGCCCACATACTGAAACCCCAATAAAAACTCTGGACACTAAGGCTCAGAGGAGCTGGCTGGTGACACACGGATGTGCCAGAAAAGTGACATGCCTGGATTCCATGAAGAGAGGACACAGAAACTCCACATCCTCCCCCACAGACTGTGTCCTGTGTATCTCTTCATTTGGTTGATCCCAAACTATATCCTTTCCAATAAAACTGTTCAGGGAGTTCTTCCAGTAAGTCATTCTAGTGAATTATCCAACCTGACAGGGTTGTGGGATCCCCCTAATCTATAGCAGTAGGTCACAAGTGCAGGTGGCCCCTAAGATGTGTGTCTGTCATGGAGGCAGTCTTGTATAGGACTGTGTCCTTAACTTGTGAGGGTCTGTACTACCTTGGGTACGCAGTGTCAGAACTGAACTGTAGGACACCCAGTCTGCATCAGAGAACTGGTCTGAGAACAGTGCCCCTCGAGCCTTTAGCAAGGCGCAGATCAGTGCACACACAGCAGGAAACTACCTCAGGCCTGAAAAAGAACCCCTTAAAGGATTCAATCAAAAATAAACAGGAGTAAAAAATAATAAATTAGGACACAAACTTGTAATAGAGAAGATAAAAACCAAAAGTTAATTCTTTGAAATGACTAAAAAAAAAATTGATAAACACATAGTAAAATTAAGAAGAAAAAGAGAAGGCCCCCAAAATTAAGAGTGAAACAGGATAAATTATTCATGACTAAAACACTTAACAAACCGGGAATAAAGGAAAACTTTGCCAGATAGAATACTACAGGCAAACACTATACCTGATGGTAAATAGTGAAATCTTTCCCTCTGAGATCAAGAATGAGGTGAGGGAAAAAGCTCTGGAAGGTTTCTGGGATACCCACACTGTTCTCTATTTCTTAATCTAGAAGGTAGACACAAAGATGTGTACTTTTTAATAATTTGCTAAGATGAACATTTATATTTTATACACTTTCTGTATATATGTTATATTTCACATTTTACAAAAGGGTTTTTTTTAAATGGAAAAGACTAATTGAGATATTGTTATGGTCTGAAGTGTATTCCTCCAGAATCCACATGTTGAAGTCCTAAACTCCAGTTCCCCAGCATATGATTGTACTTAGAGACAGTGTCTCTAAAGAGGTAATTAAGTTATAATGAGGTAATCAGCATGGGCCCTAATCCAATATGACTGCTGTCCTTATAGGAAGAAATTTGGACACAGGGCAGAGGAAAGATGATGTGAAGACAAAGGGAGAAGGCAGCCATCTACAAGCTGAGAGAGGCCTCAGAAGAAACCAACTCTGCTGACACTTTCATCTTGGATTTCCAGCCTCCAGAATCTTAAACAACAAAAATAAATTTCTGTTGTTTAAGACATCAGTCTATGGCATTTTGTTATGGCAGCCATAGCAAACTTACAGATTTCTTCAGACATAAAAAGACTAAGAAAGTCTCCTCTTCTTCTCTTTAAAGAAGTTTAAACTCAACAAGAAAAGGTGTGAATAAAAGATACAATGATGAGCAAAGGAACTGGTCAAGTATATTGACAAATGAAGTCAACTACTAACAGTAAAAAAAACCCCAACCCCCAGAACCTTTACTGTTTAAAAATGTAAAACCAGATAAATAACCCAGAAAGCAACTGGAAAGCTGGCAGAACAGATTCTCCACAGCCTGACATAGGCAAGAGGCAACAGGGAAGCAGACCCACCCCCTCCCACTGCTCTTGGTAAGATGTGCAGTGCCACAAGGCTGACAGTGTGCAAGCAGCGCAGACAAGGGCCAGCGCCTCTCCGAAGTGAATCCTGCTCCAGGGAGGGGAAAATCACCACACACACCAGTCTGACTGCCACCCCAGCAGCTGGTCTGGGGGCAAGCAGCTGGTCTAACTGCAGGCCCCGCGCACCAACAAAAGCTTCTCAGGGCACAATGCAGGGAAAGCACCCTGCAGTTTGGTGCTACTTTATCTCTGGCAAACACCTGGTCCTACTCAACTCAACTCCAAGGCAGCCCTGGACCAGCCCACTAACAACACAGGCACCAGACTCTACCCACAACAGGCAAAGAGCCATCACAGTCTGGACTGAAGGCAAACACAGCTCTGCCATGATGGCAGGACACCCCTGTAGCAACACACATAAGAGACACCCCTGAAGCACTATTTTCTGGTGAAAAGGAGACACTGCACTGCAGGACCTCTTCTTCATAAAGCCACTACTTCAAGTGCAGGAGACATGGCTAACTCTCCTAACACAAAGAAACAGACACAGTAATAGACAAAATGAAGAGACAGAGGAGTATGTCCCAAATGAAAAAGCAGAACAAAATCACACCAAAAGGTCTATGTGAAGTACAGATAAGAAACACATCTGACAGAGAATTTAAAGTAATGCTCATAATGATACTCAATGACCTTGAGAAAAGAGTGCAGGACCTCCATGAGACCCTCCAGCAAGAGACAGGGTATGTAAAAAAGAACCAATTAGAGCTACTGGACTCACTAAGTGGAAATAAAAGTAGACCACCTGGAATAAATACCAAACAAGAGGAAGCAGAAGAACAGACCAGCAATCTGAAGGACACAGTAATAGGAAGTAATCAAGCTGAGCATATGAGAGGGGGGAAAAATACACAAAATGAGAACAGACCCAGGGAACTCAGCAACACTGTCAAGCATAACAGTCACATGATAGGGATTCCAGAAGGTGAAGAGCAAGAAAAGGGGGCAGAAGATTTGTCTGAAGAAATAATAGCTAGAAACTTCCTGAATCTGGGGAAGGAAGGAGAAATCCAGACCCAGAAGGCACAGAGAGCCCACAATAAAACCAACCTAAAGAGGTCTGCACCAAGACACAAAGTAAATAAGATGGCCAAAAGCAGTGATAAAGAGAGAATTTTAAAAAGCAGCAAGAGAAAGGAAAGCAGTGACATACAAGGGAAACCCCAGATGGCTATCAGTGGGTTTTTCACCAGAAACTCTGCACGCCAGAAGGGAGCAGCATGACAAATTCCAACTGCTAAATGGAAAAAATCTACAGCTAAGAATATTCTATCTAGGGAGGCTTTCATTTAGAATAGAAGAGACAGAGTTTCCCAGAAAACAAAAGTTAAAAGCAAAACTCGCCATGTCCTTGTCAAACATGCCATCAGCCTGTGGGTCCCAAATTCAGTCCAACCGCCCTCCTGCCCGAGTCAGCATGCATAGCCTGCCACTTGCTCAAGGCCAAGTCAACATGCCTTCAACTCAGACTGCCAAGGGCTCAAACTGGCACTCTTCCCCTCAAATTCTAGACCCTGTGCTCAAGTTTGTGCACAAAAGTTGGCATAATTTTAACAGCAGAATGAAGCAACCCAAACAGTGATACTAATTCTGTGGAATATATAATGGGTAAAAGGAGCGTGCTAGGCTGAGAATATCTCCAACAAGCACATCAAAGAATAATACATATAGCATGATTCTGGTTACTAAAAGAAATAAACCCGGGAAAAATAAAACAAGATGAAATCAGAGAGCGAGACAAACCATAAGAGACTCTTAAGCATAGGAAACAAACTGAGGGTTGCTGGAAGGGAGGAGGGTGTTCGGGGGTTGGGAGAGAGAACTGGATGATGGGGACGTGGGAATGGGGTAACTGAGTGACAAGCATTAAGGGAGAAACTTGATGGAATGAGCTCTGGGTGTTCTATGCAACTGATGAATCACTCAACTCTACCTCTGAAACTAGTAATACTCTATATGTTAATTAATTGAATGTAAGTTAAAAAAAAAAAAGGAACCCCCCCCCAAAAAAGTAAAACCAAAATACTAAGCAATAATAACGGTGGAAAAAGTATCCTAGGATCCCTGTTGAGCTCTAGAGAGTGAAATACTGGATGACTGAATATTGGGGAGGGGGGTGGAGTTCAACTAAGGAATAAAGCCTTGAGAAGACTGAAACCCAAGAGAAGGCAGTTAAGACTAATGAGAGCAGAACAAAAGGTAAAAAATGCAGTGTATAGAAACCAAGACCTGCTTCATTTGAAAGAGGCATTAGTCAACAACAGTTTAGAGAAGCTGAAAAAAATTAAGTCTGGTGCGGGGGGAGGGGGGGGAAGCCATTGGATAGCTTAGTCCATTGACAGGGAGAAGCCTAATTTTAAGCAGTGAAGAACTAAGTTGGTAAAGGGAGCCTCTGAACTGAGCAGAAGCTCGGAGAAGATGGCAGCGTCTGAAATCAAGGCTACAGAAAAGGCTTTCCAGAGGCAACAAGGTTTTACATTCCTTCAAAACAGAAATGAATAAGGAGGGTTGGAAAGAAAGGTTCTAAAGCAAAAAGAAGAGAAGCTGGGAGAGTTCACCTTACCACCCAGTATCAAGAAGACGGTGAAATGGTCCACTGGAAAGCCAGGAGTGTCACTGTGTGTCAGGAAGTTGCCACGTGGGAATGGAGATCTGGGAAAACAGCTTCCTAGGGAGCATTATACAAAGGGAGATGAATCAAAAACTTTTCAAGCAGCTGAGTTTTGACTAGGACTTTCACAGTCATGTTATTAGGCTCGCTACTTTCTCCAATAATGATCAGCAGAAGCAAAACTTATCCAGGACTAGGAGCTGAAGAAATGATGGAAGATCAGGAGGTGAGGCAGAAGTGGAACAGCTTCAAATTCAAGTCCTCCTGACAAAATCCCTTGGTCACTGATTAAAGGCTGGAACTCCTTGAGAATTCTTACAGCTGATCTCACACTTCCTCCAAATAAAACTGCATCTAAACCTGCCAGGGATCTTGTTAAAAAACAGCTTCTGATTAAGGATGGCGTGGGTCTGAGAGTCTGCATTTCTAACAGCTCCTGGTGATGGCAGAGATGTTGGCTCACAGACCACATTCTAAAAGTGTTTAGGAAAAGTAACCATCCTGCATTGGTTAGGATAAGGAGGGCATCTGTGACTCTACTACTTGGCAGTTAGTAATAAGATCTCTCCTCTAGTTCTTACTTTTTAATCACCTTTCTCATCTGCTTCAGGCTTTGACACTAATATCAAAAATAGGGGGGTGGGAGGGATGGGGTGGCTAGGTGATGGACACTGGGGAGGGTATGTGCTATGGTGAGTGCTGTGAATTGTGTAAGACTGATAAATCACAGACCTGTACCCTTGAAACAAATAATACATTATATGTTAATTATGTGTGTGTGTGTATACACACACACACACACCCATATTAGTGTTTGATTACTATGTGCCAAACACTGTTACATACATTCATTCATTTAATTCTCCAAAAACTCTTGACAGTAGTACAGTTATCTTCATTTTACAGATTAGGAAAACAAGTAAATTGAGTGGAGAGCTACCAAGAAAGATCTCCAAGCAAACTCTCAGCTGAGTGGAAACAGGCACAGAGAAATTATCTGATTTCGATGAATTACACGTGAATGAGAAAGACAAGACTAACGAGTCAAATTCTATATTAACTCAGAAGTTGCATGGCACAACAGCCAGGAGTTCCCAATTTAGTCCGTTTCCCTGTTGAGTAGTTTTCGGGAGCCGGAGCTCTGACCCTTGAGAATGGGCACCTCTAACAATTTCCCAGATGAGGACGATGACGCTACACTGGGGATCACACTTTCATGGGCACTGCCATGGAGAAAATACTTATTTTCACCACCCACCCATAAATCTGAATCTCTAACTTTTGACATTCATATCAGATTTGGAGTTTAAAAAAAAATCACTCCAGCCAACCGAGCTATTCCGCTGACGCCGTTTGCTCAATTTCTGCGTAAAGTTTTCCGAGATAACCAAAGACCACACAATTCAGCGGTCGCTCGGGTCTGGCTTTGCACTTGCTTGTCCCTCTCCCCAGGCCGCTCTTTGAACCGTGTAACGCGACAGCAGCCCAGCTGCCCCCGAAGATAAGGCGGCCAGTCGCGCGCTCATCCTGGCACCCGCAGCCCCCAAAGAGCGCGGCCCCCGCCCCGGACAGGGCCCGCGGCCTCCCAGGCGCCCGCGCCGCCGTCCGCCCAACCCGCCGGGGCCGAACCCGCAACGCGCCCGCCACACAGACACCCAGCCGCGCTGACTCACGGCTCGGTACTCCGCCTCCGTCTGGGAAAGACAGACACCTAACCCGCAGACAGGGAAAGATGGCGAGCGCCTCGCGCGTCCTCATCGACTCGCTCGGCGTGCAGCTGGGCGTCCTTCCCGGGCCCGCGACTGATTGGCCCGCCGAGGGGGCGGGGCCAGGCTTTGCGGTCTTGCTTTAGGCCAGGGCTGAAATCTTACGTGGAAGCCAAGTATGTACAGAGCATGTTTTCTTAGTATTGATTTATTTTGTAAGTCCGAATGTGTAACCTTTGCATCGGTTATTTAAAGTAGGGTATAATGAACAACAAAGTCGTATTTTGGGGAGGTGTGCATTGTACACAGGTGTGCATTATTACCGTTATTGACTCGACAGGCTGTTGAGGACAGGGAATTAGGTCTCAGGGTGAATCTGCTATGGACTTCAGAGATCCTTCAGGGCATTGTGGAAAATACAAAGGTCATGTTGAGGTCCTCGTGAAACTTATATTTAGCTGCATGAATGTGGACAGCAGGTATCAAAGTAAGGAACATCTCAGACTTCAGTGAGTCAGATATAAGCAACTACATAAGATGCTAGAAACGATACATTCTAATTTTTAAGGTCACTTAAAATGGACATTTTGCTTCAAATCCTTTTGGAAAATGATTGGGTTTGAATGTGGTCTTATCTCTATTTATAGTTGAACAAAAATCAAATCTAGAGGGCCTTTTTTACTGATTAAGTTTGTAGCACTTAATGGATGCATTAGCCTTACAGGTTAAAATACTCTTTTTTAAAAGATTTTATTTATTTATTTGACAGAGAGTGAAAGTGAGGGAGGGCCCAAGCAGGGGGAGCGGCAGGCAGAGGGAGAGGAAGAAGCAGACTCCCCGCTGAGCAGGGAACCTGATACAAGGCTTGATCCCAAGACTCTGGGATCATGACCTGAGCTGAAAGCAGATGCTTAACCGACTGAGCCAACCAGGCGCCCTGAAATACTTTTCCTTTTTTTTTTTTTTTTTTTAAGATTTTATTTATTTGTTTGACAGACAGAGATCACAAGTACGCAGAGAGACAGGCAGAGAGAGAGGAGGAAGCAGGCTCCCTGCTGAGCAGAGTCCAATGCGGGGGTTTGATCCCAGGACCCTGGGATCATGACCTGAGCTGAAGGTGGAGGCTTTAACCCACTGAGCCACCCAGGCGCCCCAATACTTTTCTTTTTAATTACCCAAGAATACTCAAGATGAATGGGCACCGGGTTCTGTCCTGTTCTTTTTTTTTTTTTTTTTTAAGATTTATTTATTTCTAGAGAGAGGAAGAGAGCATGGGGAGGAGCAAGGGAGAGAACTTTCAAGCAGACTCTCCCTGAGCAAGAAGCCAGTAGCAGTGCTCGATCCCACAACCCATGAGATCATGACCTGAACAGAAACCAAGAGTCTTAACCAACTGAGCCACCCAAGCACCCCAACCAGGTTAATTTTTTAAATTAATTTTTAATGTCATAACTGTACCTGTTGAGTAAAAATTAGCCATCTAGTTAAATCTGAACAACCTCTCCAACCTAAATAGAGTAATCCCAGGATAAACATCACTTCAGGGATTGCATTTTCTCATCTGTTCTCTTACCAACCATGTAAACTAAAAAATGTCCAAATACCACTTAATATCATAGTATGAATGGGCTCCAGACATACTTTAATACTTCCAATGGAATTATATATATATATATATATATACATATATATATATATATATACAAACTCTACTACATTTAAAAAAAAGATTGGGTTGATTTTATCTGAGTATTTTGTGGACCATCACATGCAGTCAGGCAGGGCTGACATCGGTTTTGTTCAACAAAGCTGCTTGTAGAAAGTGGCAGGGTTTGAGTTGGACTTCCAGGCTGACCGTGCTGAAACTTTCTCCTTGACGCCCAGGTCATCACTGGAATCAGCCTAGTTCCTGTTTCCATATTTTCTTTATTGGTAAGTGGGACTCCCCCCTGCGATCCTCTCAACATTGACTTTTCTAAGTAGTTTCTGCAGATCCACCTGGCTTTTACCAGGAGTAATTAAGACATGCAGAAGTCAAGTTGGTAACACTTTGGAGCTGGGTTTCAGGATATCACACCGCAGGTCAGAGACAGTAACTAGTGAATGCTGTGCCTCTGGTGATGATACAAATTTCTTCATCAAAACCGTGTGTTCTTTCATTTCAGTCAGTAGATTTTTAACTGTTATCTGCATGGGTCCATCTTGTTTTTAATGGTCCAGTCTGATGTTCTTTAGTACAATCAGAATTTCTGAGCAGCCCAGGTGCCACAGGTAATGGAGTACAGGCAGAGAGGAGGCGGGGGGAGTGTAGGCAGAGATGGATGAGGAGGAAGGTGGGTAGCTGGCTGTGGCAATATGGGAGGAAGTGCAGCTGGGGATTCTCCAGGGATGGTTAGAACACAGGCAGGCACATTTGTAAATTCACCACTTGTGTGACCCATTTGACCACAACTTGGACAAGGACGAGTCCTCCAAGATGGTCTTCAGTGCCTCCCAGAGTCTGCAGAATTCACTTGCCAAAATGTGAAACTGTTGTTTTAGACTGTTAAGTTTTTGGTGGCAATAACAGGATGGAGAGATGATGTCTTTCAAGACTTCTAAATTCTGGGCCATGCAGTTCTGGCACTGGTTGTATATAGACCATACTCTTTGTCCTAAGATTTACTGTTATCTTTGATATAGGGAAATTTGAATTTTCAGTTTCATCTTAGCCAGCTTCTGCTAAGGGGTATTGTTATCTGTGGAAGGAATAACCACTCTTTCTGATGACGGCGGCGGAGGGGGAGGTGTAATTAGCTTGAACTGAAGTGGGAGGATTCCCTTTTTTTGAATAATCTTTTCACTTTGGCCTTTAGGTTTTTTCCTTGTTGTTTGAACTTGGGCATTATTTAAGTCTAAGAGCCTGGGGATTATTAGATGGAGTTAGGGTAGTGGCTTCTCCCTTGCCATTGTAGCTACACCATTTTACATTGCCACCAATATTACACAAGAGTTTCAATTTCTCCGCATCCTTGCTGCAACATACTATCTTGTGTTTTTGGTAACAGTCACCCTAATAGGTGTGTGGTGGTATCTCATTGTGGTTTTCATTTTCATTTCCCCAATGATGAGTAGTGTTAAGCATCTTTTCATGTGTTTATTGGTCATTTGTCTATTTTCTTTGGAAAAATGTCTATCCAAATACTTTGCTATTTTTTAATCTGCTTTTGGTTTTTTGGTTGTTTTTGTGCTGTAGTTCTTATATATTCTGGATATTAATCCCTTACCAGATACATGATTTGCAAATATTTTCTCCCATTTCATGGGTTGCATTTTCTCTTTGTTGATTATGTCATTTAGCCTATTACAATTTAAAAAAAATTTTTTTAAAGATTTTATTTATTCATTTGAGAGACAGAGATCACAAGTAGGCAGAGAGGCAGGCAGAGAGAGAGAGGAGAAATCAGGCTCCCCGAGGAGTGAAGAGCCCGATGTGGGGCTCGATCCCAGGACCCTGGGATCATGACCTGAGCCGAAGGCAGAGGCTTTAACCCACTGAGCCACCCAGGCACCCCTAAAAAATTTTTAAATAAAATTTAAATCAGACACTTCTGTGGGGAGGAGCTAAGAATTTCTGCAGCCCACTCAGCTCTACTCTCCTTCCCCATACCCCCACTGAGAAGGGTTCAGAGAATGTAGATACTTCAGTTCTCTTACTTTCTCTTTCACATGAGCCTCCAAGAATCTATTCACCTCCATGGAGAAGACAGTATGGAGGCATGGGAAAAAAGACATATGTAATCGGATATTTATTAAAATAAATATACAATTTCTAGTGATTATCTAAGGCACTGCAAAATGAATTCCATACCCCATGTATAGGAGGATCTTAAAGTTCTCTCCTTGAAGGTGGAATAATTTTATGAACTTTTTTTATTTTTTATTTTTTTTTAAGATTTTTTATTTATTTACTTGACAGAGAGAGATCACAAGCAGGCAGAGAGGCAGGCAGAGAGAGAGGAGGAAGCAGGTTCTCCGCTGAGAGCGAGAGCCCGATGCGGGGCTCGATCCCAGGACCCCGAGACCACGACCCGAGCCGAAGGCAGCAGCCCAACCTGCTGAGCCACCCAGGCGCCCCCCCCCTTTTTTTTTTTTAAAGATTTTTTATTTATGAACTTTTTTTTAACCATAAAGTTGAGCTGGTCTATATCAAGAAATGCCTTTTTTTCCTAGTTTTAAACTTAACACTAATGACCTGCTGTAATATCTAGAATGTATGAAATTAAGCATGATAAGTAGACTGAAGAGGAGACGGTAGCATACTTTTAGCAGAATTCCCCTCTGCAAATGTAGGAAAACTGTGTATCCGCTGACTGTACACAACTAATGAGATTTCATTTCTTTCTAAAGCACTCAGTTCAACATATTTGTTGGCTAACTTCCAATTTATATATTTTGGTGGGCTTTTATTAATCAACTTTCACAATATATCCAGGATGGAGAAAGTTCCCTAGATCTTGATTAAAAGAGACAGGAAACACATAAAAGTTAAGCAGTTGCCCAAGGGTTAAGAAGTAAGTTAGTAGGGGTGCCTGGGTAGCTCAGTGGGTTAAGCCTCTGCCTTCAGCTCAAGTCATGATCTCAGGGTCCTGGGATCAAGCCCTGAATCAGGCTCTCTGCTCAGCAGGGAGCCTGCTTCCCTGCCATCTCTCTCTGTCTGCCTGTCTGCCTACTTGTGATCTCTATCAAATAAATAAATAAAATCTTTTAAAAAAGAGAGAGAGAGAAGTTAGTAGAACTTTATTTAAGTAATCTCTACATCCAATGTGGGGCTTGAACTCACAACCCCGAGATCAAGAGTCACACACTCCGCTAACTGAGCTAGCCAGGCACCCAGTAGAACAACTTTAGAAAGAAATTCAAGAAATCGATTGGGCGGTGGTTGGTGGGGATGCCTGTGTGGCTCACTTGGCTAAGCATCTGCCTTTGGTTCAGGTGATTATCTCAGGGCTCTAGGATCGTCTGCCACAATGGGCCCCTT